GCCGAGAGGTTTACCCAAGGTGATGCCACTAGTGAGCCAAGCTGAGATTTGATCCTTGACCCTGTGTGTCTGAATCCCCCCCTTCACCGCATGATCCGTCCAAGCTTCGGGGGGCTGGGTGGGTGGGGGTATGTAGTTAGGGGTGACCATCAAAGGAACTGGAAGCAGCTGCCATCCCTTGGTGAAGGGAATCTAGTGAATAGGCTCTTCTGAAGCCCGCTGAGGCTCTCATGGGGGGGCTTGTCTCCATGGCAACTGTATTCCACTTTCTTCATGGTCCTGAAGCAGGGAATCTGTGTATAGATGAGCTGAGGACTGTGGCAATGTCACAGAGGTCACTGCTTTTATTCTTGATAGGGCTTTGGGTCAGGGGCTCTGGACGGTGATGGAGAATGGGATCAGGGAATCAGCCTGGGCGGGGGTCTCCTTGGCCCTGAGCACATGGTCTCCCAGATCCGTGACTGGGGTGTGGCAGTTGTTTCTGACAGCTTCCTCTGACAGACATCCTGGTCAGCCCCGAAGTCTTTCAGCACTGGTGGAGGGGGTGATGCCGTGGCTGCCCTCCCTGCCATCACCTCCGAGGACCTCAGCCCCTACTCCTCAGTTCCCCCAGGAGATTTGTCAGGGATCCTTCTGTTCCCAACCTAGGTCCCCACTCAGAGAAAGAGGCCCCCATAGTCACCCTGCAGGGCCTGGTAGCTGGGAATGAGAATTCTTATCTCCCTCGCCCCACACCCCCAGTTCCTCTTATTCCACCTGCCTGGCCCCACTCTCCTGGCCTCCAGAATCAGCACCTCCTCACTAGAGCCCCTGATGGGCTAGACAACCTGGACAGGATGTCGCCTACACAAATTCCAGGGTCCCTCTGAGACTGCAACCACCAAGGGCAGGCTAAGACGTCGTTGACATTCAGCAATGATGAATGAATGATGAATGATGAAGAAGCTGGGGGTCATTTCCTACAAGGACCTGTTGAAAGAGCTGGGGAGGCTTCATCTGGACAAGAGAAGCTCAGGGTGAGCTCTCTGTCTTCAGATACTGAAGGGCTGACTGAAGTGACAAATGCATTCTGGTATCCCCCAAAGTAGACCCTAGGAGCAATGCAAGAAAGCTTCAGGGAACCAACAGAATTGCTCAGACTAACCAGCTTTGTGCCTTGAGGCGTGTGCTCAGTGCTGGATTTCACCAGCTGAGGCAGACTTGGGCTAGCTTAGAGTCGCCCTAGGATGGAGCAGGCTCCTTGGGGAGGGAAGGACCGTGCCTGCCTAGGATTCCAATGAGCAAGGAGCAGCAGGAGAGCACACAGCACCATATTCTCAGATCCTTGGAAGGCACAAAGCCTGAGCCCGAGGACCTGAGTTCTGGAGAAGGAAATGGCAAATCACTTGGGTGTCTTTACCAAGAAAACGCATCTGGGGTCATAAAGCGTCGGACACTGCTGAACAGCAACAGCAAAGGACCTGATGTGTCCAGGGTCTGGACAGCAAGAGCGTGAGTGTGTGTGAGGAGAAGGGTGCAGAGACGGGGGATTTGGGTGCCCCATGAGAGGAGCAGCTCAGGGAAGGGAAAGGAAGGGAAGGTCCCGGATGAAGGTGAAAAAGAGGGAGTTAAGAGCTCTCAGTGGACCCAGATTCAGGAGGACACACCCGAAATCTCATTTGAGCCCTCTGATGCACCGTACCCCAGCACTACTCACCCTTCCTTCCCCTCCAAGACCTTTCCTTGTACCCACTTCTTCTCATTAGTTCAAAGGAAGCTTCTTAGAGGATCATGGGGAGTGGGACGGAATAAGGACAGGAAGATCCTAAAATTTAAGGGCTGGAAACCACCCTCCCCCTTCTTGGCACAGAACGTTAACTGGGAAGCACAGAACAGAGAATGTCGGAGATGCTCCAGATGTTGGAACATGGTTTGTCAGAGCCAGGAGAAAAGAAATGAAAGAAAGAGTGAGAAAGCATTTATAAAGCACCTACTATACACCAGGCACTGTGCTGAGTGCTGAGAATACACACACACAAAAAAAGGTAAAATCAGCCCTTTCCCTTAAGGAGCTCACATTCTGATGGGGTTGGGGGAAATCAACACGTAATTAGGTAGGTACTTAGAAGATACACGCACATAAATACACACGTACATATATGAATATATATGTACGTGTGTATTTACAAGACACATACATGGAACCATACATACATGCGTACACACATACACATAGTCTCTTTAGATATATAGCTGTGTATATCTACCTATATGTACTCTCTATGGATCTATCTCTCTATATCTATATTGATGTAGAGTGTGCACATGTATAGATATATCTACATAGATATAGAATTATCTCTTTAGATACATAGCTATATAGCTATGAGAACCAACCATCCATCTAATAACTATTAGGCACCTTCTGTGTGCAATGAGTGAATTGCGCTGCATGTTGGAGAGAGATAATGAAGAGATGGTGCCTGCCCCCTGGGAGCTTATGGGGTTACCCCAGAAGACGCCAGATCTATCTAGCAGCTCCCTCCCAGGGATGTTGTGAGGACCAGATGAGATTATATCTTTAAATGGCCCAGCTTACTCAGCACAGGGCTCACTTTCGACACAGCTGGTGCTCAATAAATATTTGTTACCTTCCCCATTTGGTAGGCTAACTGGAGGGCACAATAAAAATTGATCAGAGCACAAGAAAGGAATGTACAAAGTTCTCCCCATTGCAGGTTTTTTTCTTCTTTGTTTTACTTTACTTCTTCGACCTGACATGATTTTAATTCCCTCTATCAATGCAGATCAACATCTACCCTCCAAATTATAGTTTTAAAGTGTTGCCTAGAACATGAAGAAGTTAGCCTGAAGCCACATAGCCAGTATGGGTCAAAAACAGGACTTGAACCCAGGTCCTAGGATCTTGATTGATTCTCCCCAGGCCCCTAGACATAAAGGGGTTCTCTAGGGAACCTGTACTCACAGCCTATTAGACCACGCTCTGAGGGAAGAGGTATTTCTCTTCCCTCTCCCCACCTCAGACTGAGCTCTCTGAGGGCAAGATGGGGTCTCTCCTTGAGATTAAGGGCTTTTGAAGTTCAGGGGTCCCATCTCCTGTATCAGACTGATTGAGTCTCAGCGTGCCCTTCTCCTCTTATGGCCAGTTCATCGTTCTTCCCACAGGGGGCGCTGGGCTCCCATCGTGGGTTAACTGTTGCCTGTGAGCTCTCCCCTTCTGGTATCTTGGCGTCCTTTTACAGCCTGTGAACTATTAGTGCATCAACTACTGTCCTGCCTTCTTCACCTCACCAGAATCATCCAACTGTAGAATATTAGAACTGGGAGGGTCCCTAGAACACAGGATGTCAGAGCAGAAGGGTCCTTAGGGCACAGAATATCAGAGCTAGGAGGGTCCTTAGAACAGAGAATGTCAGAGCTGGGAGGGTCCTTAGAACACAGAATGTCAGAGCTGGGAGGGTCTTTAGAACACAAAATGTCAGTACTGGGAGGGTCTTTAGAACACAGAATGTCAGAGCTGGGAGGATCCTTAGAACTTGCAATGTCAGTACTGGGAGGGTCCTTCGAACACAGGATGTCAGAGCAGAAGGGTCCTTAGGGCACAGAATATCAGAGCTAGGAGGGTCCTTAGAACACAGAATGTCAGAGCTGGGAGGGTCCTTAGAACACAGAATGTCAGAGCTGGGAGGGTCCTTAGAACACAGAATGTCAGAGCTGGGAAGGTCTTTAGAACATGGAATGTCAGAGCTGGGAGGATCCTTAGAACTTGCAATGTCAGAGCTGGGAGGGTCCTTAGAACTTGCAATGTCAGAGCTGGGAGGGCCCTTAGGACACAGAATATCAGAGCTAGGAGGGTCCTTAGAACACAGAATGTCAGAGCTAGGAGGGTCTTTAGAACACAAAATGTCAGTACTGGGAGGGTCTTTAGAACACAGAATGTCAGAGCTGGGAGGATCCTTAGAACTTGCAATGTCAGAGCTGGGAGGGTCCCTAGAACACAGGCCCTAGCACACAGAATGTCAGAGATGGGGTGAGGAGGTCCTTAGAACACAGAACATCAGAGCTGAGGTGGGAAGGTACCCTTGGAATATAAAACACAACGTCTAAGTTGGCAGGGCCCTTAGACCCTAGAATGCTAGGGTTGGAAGGGTCCCTAGACCAGAGAAGATAGAATGTCAAAGGGGAAGAATTTTCACTCTCCAACATCCCCCTCAGTTCCTGGCCGGGTCCTGTCTAGCCCCTAGAGTTTCGATGTGCCTGGTCTCTCTGTGTTGTGTCCAGGTGCGTGCATCTGTGCTTTGCTTTTCAGTATCTGTGTTAAGTCCCTCAATGCCATCTGTATTTCTATTTCTGTGTTGTTCCTTTTTGTTAATGTCTACACAGCTGCTGGTTTCTTGTGTATGTCTATAGTCGGTGGGGTGTGTGTGTGTGTGTGTGTGTGTGTGTGTGTGTGTAAATGTCAGTACTGCCTGTGTACTAATTTTCCCCTCTGTGGTTTCCAGGAACCTAGGTTCCAGACTCCCTATCTGGGCTAACCCTTGGCCAGAGCCCTTCCTTGGACAGAGTGAGTTAAGGAGGGCAGCTGTGGCTGAATTATGGCCAAGGGCTTCCATTCTTTAGCATGTACAAGGCAGATCCCTTTCCTTGCTCTTTCCTGTGAGAAAGGACTACATGCCTGAAGGGGGCTTGGAGAAGACCAATTTCCCTTGACAGCTAAGCACCTTAGCCTTACTTGGGCTCCTTCCCCTGCCAGGCCAGGGCCTGTCCAGCTTTGGTCCCCACCTGGGAGCTTTCCTGGGGGCCACCCCGGGCTCCAGGGTTGCTACTCCTCCACCACAGCTGGGGTGGAGGCCCTGCTGGGGCCCTAGCCCCTCCCTGCCCCTCCGCCTCACCCTTGGGGGCACTGCTCCACTGCATAACAGGAAATTTCAAACAACAGGAAACCCTGGCCTAGTCTTCTTTGCTGTTCAAGACAGGCAGGGCACTCCACCCTGCTCCTGCCCAGACACCAAGGTCTCTCTTTGCGTGTGAGTGGCCCTGGGGAATAGCCTCGCCTGGTTTCTTCGTGGTCCCCGGTTTGCTCCCAGGCTGGGTGATGAACCTCTCCTCTTGCCACCGGCTGGTGGACCTCGGGCACCCGGACCTCATCCTGCAGCATTACAACTACACGGGCCGCCTGGAGTTTCGGGGACCACCTGAAGAGGGCCTGGGCTGGCTTCGCACCCTCTTCGTGGCTGTCAGCTGTCTGATCATCCTGGAGAACCTGCTGGTCCTGGTGGCCATCATCAGTCACATGCGCACTCGCCGCTGGGTCTACTACTGCATCATCAACATCACCCTGAGCGACCTCCTCACAGGCGTGGCCTACCTGACCAACATCGTCCTGTCCGGGAGACGGACTTTCCACCTGACCCCCACCCACTGGCTCCTTCGGGAGGGGGTGCTCTTCATGGCCCTGGCGGCGTCCACCTTCGGCCTCCTCTTCACCGCTGTGGAGCGGTTTGCCACCATGATGCATCTCATGGTGGCGCGCAGCGGCAGCGGCGTGGTCCGTGTATACGGCTTCATCGGCCTCTGCTGGCTCCTGGCTTTGCTGCTGGGTCTGCTCCCTCTGCTTGGCTGGAACTGCATCTGCGACTTCTCCAACTGTTCCAGTCTGTTGCCCCTTTACTCCAAGTGGTACATCCTCTTCTGTGTCGTCATCTTCGCCTTGATTCTGGCCTCCATCATGCTGCTCTACGGCGCCATCTTCCGCCTGGTCCGCGCCACTGGACAGAAGGTCCCGCGAGGCCATGCCCATTGCAAGGCCCAGCGCCTCCTGCAGATGGTTATGATGATCCTGGTGGCCTTTCTCCTCTGCTGGGGTCCGCTCTTCGGGCTGCTGTTGGCGGACATCTTTGGCACCGCAGCCTGGGCCCAGGAGTACCTCCGGGGCATGGATTGGATCTTGACCCTGGCGGTGCTCAACTCGGCCATCAACCCTCTCATCTACTCCTTCCGCAGCCGGGAGGTGCGCCGGGCGGTGTTGGGATTCCTGTGCTGCGGCTGTCTGAAGTTGGGTGTTCGAGGGCCCGGGGGCTGCCTGGTCCGGGCCGTGGAGACCCATTCCATCTCTTCCACCGAAAGCTCCCTCCGGCCCCGGGACAGCCTTCGGACCTCCCGCTCTCTCAGCTTCCGGATGCGTGAGCCTCTGTCCAGCGTGTCCAGTGTGCGAAGTGTCTGAGCCCGCTGGAATCCCCTGCCCCCAGCCTCCAGGCCCAAATCCCTCCTCTTTTGCTCTTGCCTTCTGACCGAGGCCCCCCTAAGGGAGGGCAGGTTGGGGGTGGGGCTTTGTGCCCTTTGCTGTGTGAACTATTGGCTGAGGTTCCAGGAATTGTCCCCCCCCCTTGCCTAGTTTCCTGCAAGGGATTTTGGGCAATGATCTGGGGTAGGGGTCCTGGGCTTGAGGCCCGATGTCTTGGGCAAAGAGGATGTTACACCATAGAGCCCGGCAGCCCCAGTGGGCACTGGCAGGATGCCCAGGGCGAAGATCTTCTACCTCTGGGTCTGAGGGAGAGGCTGCTTTGGTGGTCTGAGGCTCTTTGCCGGCAGCTGCCTCCCCCTCCACACCCCTATGGACACCCTACCTTTCTGTTCTGGTTGACTAGGAAGGGTAAGGTTCTTAGGATCACCCTAACCCCATTCTTCCTTGGGTCAGGATTGCTGAGGAGTGCATGCAATGCTGAGGCTGCTGGGCCAGGCAGAGTGGGCAGCTCACAGACTGATGACTTGTTTTAGAGGGGACTTCAGAGAAGGTAGGGGGGCCACGGCAGTCAATTAAGCTGCACGGGGAGCCCTGTGTACATGGGCCCTGGAGAATGGACTAAATGTACTACAGTGGAATTTGAAGCATGAATTGGAAATGTGTGGGCAGATAGGGGGATTAGTCCTGGGATAGGGTTTCCTTAGGGACATATCTGTGCTGTTGCATGTGCATAAGGCACTAGACATTTGTGTATGTGTGTAGATCTCAGAGTCAACAGAGTTCCCCTATGTGATAGCACATAGAGAGGTCATCTTGTTCACCCCTTTGTCTCCAGAGCACTTAAAGTGTCTCTGATGGAAGAGATTGCTCACCCCTCTGTCTTCAGAAATCTCTAGGGAAGGAGATTCCAGTCTTCCTGTTAACTGAAGGTCTGAATGTGGGCACGCATGTATTCGGACATGTGTTAAGTGTGTGTGTAAGTTCATTTTAATTAACTTTATAGGATCACAGGGTTCAGAGCCCTGTGGGACTTCAGAGATCATGACCTGGGGCTTGTGAACCTATTGTGTGTGGTTTTTTTCAAATTTCGATAACTGCATTTCAACATAGTTGGTTTCCTCTGTAATCCTATCTCTTTTGCTTTGTGCATTTAAAAACACGATTCTGAGAAAGGGTCCACAGGCTTCACCAGACTGCCTCCTAAAAGGGTTAAGTCCACAAAGAAAGGTTAAGAATCATTGATCTAGTGCAATCCACTTATTTTACAGATGAAGAAACTGAGGCCCAGAGAAGAAAAAAGCTTATTTGTAAAAGAGACAGAGAATATGTATGTATATATTAGAATGTGATTGTGTGTATAGGGATGAGTTTGAGGGAGGAATTGAGTGACAGCCTTCCAAATAACCGTTGATCTTGGTGTTTTGGGTTTGTTTGTTTTTTTTTTTAAATCAACTACAGGCTCCTCTCACTTCTCTTCACCAACCTTCCCCCTCTCTAGTTCTGGGGGATTTATCTGAAAGTCCCAGTCCCTGAGTCCCCTGGCCTGAGACCATTCTCTCTATCTTCCAGTTTCTGAGAGCTGTGCCTTCCCTCTTCCCCTACCCATAGGCCCCTCCTTTCTTCTCACACTTACATGTTATTTTTCACAAATTAAAGAGGAACTGTCAGCCAGTGTCCAGTCATTCAGGGAGATGTGGGGTGTAGGGCCCCATCCATAACCATTCTAGGTGGACAGTGGGCATCTGAAGTAGTCAGGGCTGGAAGATGGAAAGGGCAGAGTTCTGAGCCCTGGGCCTGGCCTCTCTGAGCCCAGATGGCAGCAGAGGACCTCTCTCTGCCCCTCTCCTCTTTTGATTTGTGTTTCCACAGCCTCCTTCCTTCTTTCCACATTCCCTAGGTTGACTTATTTCTGCATTTTCCTAGAACAATGGAAGGAGGCTTGGGCTGGCAGTCTGGGAGACTTGGGTTCTATCTCCAGCTCTGACAGCATCATCTTGGGCAAATCTCGGTAGCCTCCACCATCAGATGAGAAGGTTGTACCTATAAGACCCAGCTCCCAGCTCTGACATTCCTGGTGCTCTGATGTTCCATGTTCTAAGGGCCCTCCCAGTGCTCACCTTCTGTGTTCCAAGATCCCTCTTAGCTCTGACATTTTAAAGTCTCTCTCAGCTCTGGCATTTTTTGGCTCAAAGGTTTTTCCCAGTTTGATGTCCCATGGTTCTAGGCATGGTGTGCATGAAAAAGAATCCAGATGGGGAACTGGAATGTCATCTCTGGAGGTCTTCAAACAGGCTAGAGGACCATTTGTCAGGAATATTAGAGAAGGGACAAAATTGTCTCAGAAGTCCTTTCCAGCTGAAATTCTCTGATCCCCTCCTGGGAGGAAAACAGCCCCAGGTAATAGTCAATAAACATTTTCTGATAATGGCAATGTGGCTGAGGACTCATTCTTGATTTTGACCTCCAGACCACCTTTTGGGTAGGCCCAGACCTGGCTCAGAAATACCCCCTTCCCTCCCTCCCTCCCTTCCCCCACACCAGTTATTGCCTTGGAAACAGGAAGCATAGGGCTGGTGCTAGATGTGGGAGGGTATGAAGTGGTGACCGTTGAGGAGGAAATAGCTAACACCCCAGCCGTGGTACTGAAATGAATCTTGCTGAAAGAGATACCAGACACAAGAGAGTTGTCTGAGATGGTATTGGTCACAAATGTGAAGGGAGGCCCTGGTGCCCTCCCCGGGTGGGAGACAGCTGTGGTTCTTCCAGGAAGATATGTAAAAGCGTTGGGTGTTCTTAAGGGTTTGTGTTCTAGAGTTCCCAATGGAGGTTCCATTAGCAACTTCCCAACCCCCACCCGGTCCATTGGCCCCTTTTGGAGAAATTACAGGAGGACATGGTGTCATTAGAGGGAGGACCCATGCAGATAGATCAGAGATTCCTCCACTAGATGCTGAGCTCTGGAAAGGCACAAATGGTGTCTTAGTCAAGACTTCAGTGCTTTAGAGTTGAAAGGACCTTGAGATCATTTTGACATATCACAAGGTCATAGATTTAGAGACGAAAGGGATAAATCCAATGAAAAAACAGAGTTGCAGAGGTGGTGTGTCACTTGCCCCAGGTTTCAAACTCAGGTCTTCTGACTCTAAATTCAGGAGTCTTTCTACTACCCTACGATACCTTCGAAATTTGTTACCTCCTGCAGCGTCCAACACAGGGTGTTACATAAGGGAAAACATTTCCCGACAAATCTTTTATTTTATTTAAATTTTCAATGAACAAACATTTATCTTCTCTTCTTCCTACTCCCCCTCAATTTAAAAGGAAAAACAAAAAGGAAAATGAAACTCTTGTAACATATGTAACATAGTCACTGTGTAACATTCAAGCAAAGCAAAGTACTACATTATATAGGAAGATCCTAATAAATGGTTGTTTAATGGCTTAAATGGATGGGGGATGGATGGATGGATGGATGGATGGGTGAATGGATGGATTGGGGGATGGATAAATGGATGGATGGGGAGATGGATAATGGATGGATGGATGGATAAATGGATAGATAGATGGATAAGGGATGGATGGATGGGGGATGGATGAATAGTTGGATAAAGAGGTGGAAAAGGGAGGCAGCATGATGTAATGGAAATCTTACTGGGTTTAAATCTGAGGGTCTGTCATTTACTCATACCCCTGTGACCCTGAGTAAATCCCTTAGTCTTGTCACTGGGAGGAGAGAGTGAGGCCGATGACTTGGCACAGCTCTGCCCCATTTAAACCTAATTCACTCACAAGTGAAGACATCACCCTCGTGATGTCATTGGTCCTCTTCAAGAACTATTCTAGGTGGACAGTGGACATCTGAGGCAGTCAGGGCTGGAGGATGGAAAGGGCAGACAACAACAATGACCTCTAAGGGCCTCAGTTTCCTCATTTATGAAATGAGGTGATTGGTTGTTCTGAATCTCAGTTTGGAATTAAGAAAAGAGATTTAAATCATCCACACCTGTTGATCCAGCATTCTGATTATTAGGCATATACCTCTAAGGAAGTCAAAGACAGAAATGAAGATCCAACATATTATGCTAAAATATTTATATCAATTCCCTTTGGAGTAGTGAAGACTGGATAACAAAGTGGAGGCCCATCAGTTGGGGACTGGCTCAGAAAAGGATGGCATATGAATGGATGAAATATTGTGTGGCAAGAAATGATGAATCTAAAAAATTCAAAGAAATGTGATAATAGCTTGGAATAACAACTAGCACTTACCTAGTGCTTCAAGGTTTGCAAAGCACTTTACATATTTTATCATCTTTGATAATGTATCAGAAGACTTATATGAACTGATGCAGAGTGTAATAGCAAGAATGAAGAAAACAATAGACTCATTGGCTGATGGCTAACGAAAAGATCGCTGAAGGAAGCTGACTTCTCAGTAACAAAAGATAAGGGAGGTCCCTAAGAACAAATAATGAAACGTATCTCCTATTTCACAGAAGAGAGGTGGGGGACCAATGGGGTGAAATATTGTTTACATTGTCTGATTCAGTCTCCGTGTGGGGTATCTTAGCTTAATTGCTTCTTTGTCCCAAGGATGGGTTCAATGGGGAGGGAGGTTGGAATGATTGTGATGTGCAGACAACATGCATTAAAACAAAACAATAACAAAAACAACAATAGTAAAATGAGAGGACTGAAGGATATAACCCCTCAGGTCCCTAAGAGCTTTAAATCTAAGCTTCTATGAGAACAGAGTCATTGGCCAGCGTTCCCAACCAAAGGGCCAGCATTTGGAGGGACTTTGCAACAAGCAAAACTGTCAGACAAGGGAATGGAGCTCCTCAAGGAGGAGTGAGTTTCCCATTACTGAGGGTCTTCAAGCAGAGACCGGATGGCCCCTTGTCCAGGGCTTCTTTTTTTTTTTTAATTTTATTTTAATCTTTTTTTTTTTGGTCCAGTTTTAAAGGATATTCATGATTTGGGTTGGGGCTTGGACTAGCTGACTTTTGAGAAACCCCTCAGTTCTGGGAAGATTCTAGAATTTTCATGCTCTTTTTAGCAGAAGGGCTATGGGCTGATGCAGAGGTCCTGTTCTCTTGTTTCTCTGAGATCAAACGAGATAATATTTGTGAAAAATGCTTAGCACAGTGCCTGGTGCACAGTCGGCGCTCTATAAATGCTTATTCTCTTCCCTCCCCTCTTTGGAGTGAGATCATCTATGTAAGCCTTTCATTTCACAGATGAGGAAACTGAGACCTATTGGCTGTCCTTCGTTCTCAAAGAGGACCAAAGTGACATCACTATGTTAGAGTCAAGTTACAGTGTCTGACTGTGGCTCGTCATACTGATACAAGCTCACAATGCTCTACCACAGGTCGGGCACAAATAGTTCATGTGAACATTTGGGGTGGATTCTCTAAATTTGCGCAGCGCACATCTCTTTGGAGTTATTTCAATTCAGCTTTGCTTATAGAGCACAGCACCTTCTCTGATGTGGGGATGACATGCTGGGCACTCCTGTGCCAGTGTCTCCCATGTCACAGAATCAATTGCAAAGTTTTTGAGAGATACCTAGAGAGCGTCTTTGTATCGCTTTTTCTGACCGCCGTGTGAGCACTTGCTTGTGTGAGTTCTCCATAAAATAGTCTTTTTGGCAAGCATGTGTTTTGCATTTGAACAACGTGCCCAACCCATTGGAGTCGCGCTCTCTGAAGCCGAGTTTGAATGCCTGGCACTTCAGCTCAAGAAAGGACCTCAGTATCTGGTGTCTTATCCTGCCAGGTGATCTTCGGAATCTTCCTAAGATGATTCAAATGGAAGCGATTCAGTTTCCTGGCATGGCGCTGGTATATTAAAAGGACAACAGAAGAGGATATTGCTCAATGTTACACAGCTAGTAAATGGCAGGGGTGGGGTGGGGGTGGGTGGAAGGAGTGGGATGGGGGGGTAATCTGCCCCCAGGATAAAATATAAAACTCTCTGACTTATAAAGCCTTTTGTATCCTGGCCACTTCCTAACTTTCCTGGCTTCTCACACCTTATACCCAGTAAGCAGTGATAGTGACATTGACCTCTTTGCTTTTCCTTGAATTAGACCCTCCAGTTTGGGGCTTGGGAATTTTCACTGTCTGTCCCCAGTG